AGCATATTCCTAAAACGAAAATAAATAGAAGCGTTTTCCCTTCCAATTTAGTTCTACGTTAACGAGCTTTATTTGATCAAGCTTGTTGCGCAAGCTCGAGCGAAACGCGTTTCCTCGTTGCTTCAAAACGAAACAAGCCAAACACGCCTAATCCCAGGCCTCCGTCTGAAGGCGTCCTCGGCTCGCTTCGCCGTCGCCTTTGTCTTCCCGACCAATAATGTTGACTTAGAGCTTCCAGTGCAGCTCCGGCTCTGGAGTTACAGCTTCATTCTATAAGTAATTTTCCACTGCCTGCTCTCACAACTGATAAGGCCTCAGCGGTGCATTATAGCGGACAGCACAGTGAGGCAAACACTTCTCTCCAGAGTTCATGTTCTCCACCCTCCATTAGTTCAGTGTGACTGCTCCGGGCTGCTGCGCTGTCAGTTACTCCCTCTGCTTTTGTCTGAGTGGCCTGATGTTCAGCCACAGGGCAGCAAGTAAACAAGCTGCTCTCAGCCACAGCCGGCAGTCTGCTGACCGTGGGGGTCAAAGCACTCGTCATTTCTTACTACTACCACTTCTCTGCTAGGATAACTAATTCTTTCGTTCTGTTTGTGTCCATGTGTCCCGAAAGGCACATTAACCAGACGCAAGCTGCTCATCCCCCCTTTAAGCAGAGGCTGCCTATCTATTGGCATTTAGTAATTTAACGGATCTAACTGTTTTCAGTCGTACTCGGTGGACGTAATTGGGCTGAATGTAAACCTGACCACAACAGGCTGAATACCAATGAGCTGACACCGGGTCGCTCATGCATTTAGATTTGAACTTGATGTGTGTGCGTTTTACGTGATAGCCCCCTTCCTTTCCCTTTAATTTAGTTTATATGTAAAAAATTAAATAAGTCAGACTGAAGGGGAGTGAATTAAATTCACTGAATTAAATCAAAACGGACAGTGCTTTGATGGGGAGTACGGGCAGAGCACGTGCTCCACAGCAGAGGAGGGTCCAAGGGTCCAAGGCGGGCTGCAGGCTTACTGTCATAATTAAGTGCTGCTCATTCACATGCCAGTGCGTTAACGTTAATCACCGGTTTTCAATTTTAAAAGTCCGTGAATGCCCTTTGAATCCCTAAAGCCTGTAATCAAAACTAGCTGATCCCCATTACCACATGCTGACACTTCATTTATGCTGAGATAATATTTAAAAATGTTGAGCTGGAGTTCGGAGGGAGGGAGCAGCGGCCAACAGGTTTTGGTGGGGGGGGGGGGATGTCAGCGTAAGCAGAAAGCGGAGAGACGCGCCAAAACGCGCGCTCTTTTCTCCTTCCCATCAGGATAAAAGGATGGAATGATGGGAGCTTTTCCACTCCCTCAAGCAAGAGGAAATCTGGAGTTTAATCCATGCAAAATGTCCTTAGCTTTGTTCCTCGGGGCCTGCGTCATCTGGATAGATCACGGCCGGCCTCTGCAGCGATCTGCTCTGGAAGGCCGTCTCACACTAACAGAACATCTGTAGGACAGCTGCCCTCAGAATCTGTTTGTGCAGCTCTAGTAAAAGTAATTGTTATAATTCCGCTTCCGGCTCCCAGCGCTGTTCAGACCCATCAGGATCAGCAGTATAGCAGGGAGCAGTGGGTCCAGAAACGGTAACTCATAGTAAGGATGACTGAAAAATCACACATTCCCACATAGCTCCACAATATGTCAAACACTTAGTCCGTAAATCCACCGATCTACTCATGATGTTCAACATGATTTTTCTGCTTCCGTCCTGTTCCAGCAGCAGCCACATGAATGCATCCAGCAAGCAGATTCTGTTAGTTTTGGGTCCATGTGTTTGTCGGTTGATTCCAGCTCCTTCTGTCAATTTTAACACTTGAAATACTTTGAGCTACTCAATCTCTTGTCGAAATAATGCAGAGTTAAACTAATACCAACTCTGTAAAGGACCAGAGGGACTCAGTGCAGTGTTGCTTTAACGTTTGGCCAAAAGAAGTCAGAAGACTTTTGGCCACAGAACGGCTAGGACAGGTGTTTCCGAAGCTGGTCCTCACGGGCCAGCATCCTGCATGGTTCAGTTCTGTGTCTGGTTCAACACCACACCTGGATCAAACGATGGCTCATTACCAGGCCTCTGCAGAGCACTGGGCGCCACCGGGCTGGTGTGTGGAGACACTGGTTGTGTCACAAAGGCAACTCTCTTGCAATGATCTGACCGATCGTTTGGAAAAACCTCAACAGCGACAAAGTCCAACATAAAGTCACAGACTGAGCAAAAGTTTCAGCATATGGCTTCCACGTTGCCTTGTGTTTGTGACGTGTGCAGGTCACATTTCTGTCTCTCTGGCCGCCCACCGACTGTTACTGAGCAACCAACAAACCACCTGAACTGTGTAGAGAAGTCAAAGCCCCATCTGCAGATCCCACACATCCTGGACACACCGTGCTTAGACTTTTTACATTGAGGTCGGTGCTACAGAGCACTATTTGCAAAAACAGTTTCTTCCTTCAGGTTATCATTCTGATGAACACAGACAAAATCCATAACATGCATATTTGCGCTAATTTAACCCCATTTTCCACCTTAGTAAAAAGACTTTATATTCATATTTACATGAAACAAAATGTCATTTTCTGAAGTGCTAAAGTCTCTAACTGTTGATTCCTTTTCTATAGTGTTTCCACCATGCTATAAATTTTTATCTTTTCAATCCTTCCTGCAACATTTGCTCTTTTTTATTTCTGCATTTTAACACAGACCAACAAGCAAAAAAAAGAAGAACAAAGTGCCATGCAGTAACATTAACATTAACTCAGCTCAGGAAGGAAAAAAAAAAAGAGGAAGGCACATTAATGCAATATATTATGTAAGGCTTTGTGAAAAAAATAGCAGAAATATCCAGACCAGTACACAGTACAAAGGGGTCCCAAATATTAAGAAATATATTTTCTCTATTGTGTAATTTACTAGTCAGAAAGTCCAGCAACACATATTCAAGGACAGTCCGTTGTCATTGTGTTTTGGACGGAACCAGATCTGTTATCCAGTTCATGAGGACACATTTCCTGGAAGCATCCTGTACAGGTGTTTTTAACATTTGCTCATTTTCAATGCAGCCCTTGTGCATTTCCAGGGGATTTGTGTGTGTGTGTGTGTGTGTTCTGAGAAACAAAAACTACTCAGACCGATAGAACATTCATGAATAAAACTGACACCAGAGGAGACAGACAGATGGGACACCATGAGACGTAGAGAGCTGAGCAAGAGGAGGGTGTGAGATGTGCCACAGTGTCAGACTGAAAGCAACCCTCTGACTCACTGGAATAAAAACAGAAAAACATGCCTGGACCATTTGGGAAAGAAGATTATCTTTGCAACAGATCCAGCTGAAACTACAACATCTTGCATAAACTGTATAGGAAAAACATATTTTGTGTGTTTGTTTTTTTTCCTGCCTGACCACTAGAGTCCACTAGTTGACCTACACACACAGTTATGTACAAGCACAAACATCATGGCAGTGTCCAGGCATCAAGGTGCTCAGGAAGGAGTAACTGGGTTATGTGTCCCAGATATGAGTGTGTTTTGGTCTAAATAAATCCCAGAACAAAAACTAAACCTCTTAATGTGAAGGAAATGACTATTGTGTTGCTCATCATTCCTGGCATTTAGGAACTAAAAAGAATGTTGGTAATTGCAGTTAGTCTAAAACAGGAAATGTTATTGACAGACAATAAGAAAAACATGTTGCGTACTTTTCTTTAAACTTACCTTTACTACATTGATATCTAGTGTCAGTCTGTCTGTCTGAATGATTGGTTTGAATGAATGTTTTCTGGAATCTCAAGTCACAAAGTGTCTGTGATTCCTCTGCTGTTTCAGAGCGTCAGAATCTTCAGTTCCAAACTTTCATTCTTCTCTTGCTTCACAGATCGCAAACACTTCTAAAACCCCGTGGGTGCTAATTGCTGCCACCAGAAAGCTACGTCCCCTTTAATTTCTCTGGAATGACCTGAAAAAGTTCCCACCTTAATGTGACAGATGCATTTGTGTTCTGAGCCAGGGCCTTAATGTTTTCTGACATCTTCCCTTTGCAGATTAACCCAAACCGACAGGGCTCTTATCTCGCGCTCCTGCTCAGCCTTATGCTAAAATCTCCAAATGATTTCATGTCTCATGCCGTGTTCAGGTCAGAGACGAGATATCTTGTCATTACCAAATGTTTCTGCAATGCCACGAAAGTTGTTTAGAGATTTTCAGGTCATTTGCATTGGTCATTTGTACTCGATCAAGATTTGTATAGCATATTTCAGTGACAATGCAGTTCAAATTGCTTTACATCATAAAAATACAAAGTCATAGAAAACACCACAGTCAGTTGAGAAAACCAGTAAACATTTTACATTTGGTCTAGTGCCGTCAACATGTTGGTCATTTATTGTGGTGGGTGTAGACTTGATTTAAAGGAACTCAGTTTTTCAGCTGTTTTGCAGTTTTCTGGACGCTTGTTCCAGGTGTGTGGTGCATAGCTGAATATACGCGTCTACGTATATGTGGGTGAGTATCTAAATGTGTACATATATAATTTCCCTGAGAGCAATGCTGCGTTTTGAAGCACACATTCATTTCTCAGTATAAATGTTTGTCAGCAGTCGTCTCCTGCATGCCAGGACATTTTCAGGTCACGTAATGACGGCAGCATCATCTTTGTCACATGAGGAAATGACTTTAATCACACCCGTCCACTAATTAGGCTGACTTCGTCTATACCAACATGGATTTATATTCTTATTCCAGCTCAATTTCAGGAAAGTTCTCATGCTTTCTGAAGCCTACAGACCTAGAGTGAAAAAAAAAAATCATTCAAATCAACAGGCCTACACACCACCTGCTGTTGTCACCACTTGGTGGCACTATTGAGATCTTCTCAGAATGAGTCACAAAAAACTATGAAAAAAAAGCACAAAAAAAGATCAATAAATAAAGGAAAATAAGCAAATAAATAATTGAACGCATTTTAATTTGAATATTTCTTTTAATACATAGTTTTTCCTCAGACTGTACAACATAACTGAGTTCTATTAGCAGATCAGTCAACATGAAAGGTGAAAGAAAAGAAGATTCACTTGAGCCAGATGTACTTGTCTCCAACATCTGCATTGTAGCCACGAGCGTAATTCTTCCCAGGCAGCTGCAACAACAAGACAGAGCAGCATTCATTTACAGCCACGTCTCACCGTTATTCAAACATGAGACAAAATTTCAGCTAACAACCCAGAATCAGTAGTTTTGACATAAGATGTATTTTGTCATTGCGTTTTGATTCAAGAAGCTAAAGCAGCATCCTAAAGACTCAGAGAGGATGCAAATTGAGTCTCCCTACATCGTCGCTCTAGCTTCAGTTCATTTCAGCCAACAGAACAAGGAGAAGACACTTTTTGCCAAATTCCAGTTTGGAATCCCGAGCCAGACGCTCAGGGTTTCACAGGACGTTCTAAGAGTTGTGAAAATGTGGGCCACTGGCTGAAATGTGCTGAGGGAGCCATTCTGCTGCTGTGTGTCGCCGTCCTCATTCCCTCCTCTGAGATCCTGACTCGGAGTGAAATGTCAGGTCACGGCCTGCTGTTGCATTACTCGGCCCGACTCATGCAGCAGGGGGAGACAAAAACGGCTCCAGTCAATAAACAGGAAAGGTCAGACCTGAATGTTTCCCCACAAGACCGATGATACAAACAGCCGGCTGGAATATTCCACGTGACATTTGTAACTACGAGGGGTTCGATATTTCAGCACAGGAAAATGACTTTCATCAGGCTGACTTGGTGGCCCAGGGAAGAGGAGAAAAATAAGAAGAGTCAATAAAAAAGGAACAAAGCAGACACGAGAAAGAAAAGGTTCCTCATTATGGATTTTCAGGCTTTCACAAAGCTCTGCATCAGATAAAACAGCCAACCGAATCAAAGAGCTCTGCTGAACTAAAACACCTCAGCTGGCAAACACACAACAAATCAGAGCCTAATGTCTTCATTCATCCTTCAACCTGGCGGAGGGGCTGTGAACACATCAGCTTATCAGGGCTGTCAACGCCGCTCCTCATTCACATCTCAAAGCATCTCCATGTTTGTTTTACTGCTGGAACTAAATAGATAAAGTGTTTATGATGAAGTTCCACTGTGACGCTAAAAGCAGCTTCACCCAGGTGCAAGTCTGTTTTATACTGAACCAAATCTCATTATTTCTCACAGTGACGACACAGAGGGGTTTTGGTCGGGTTCTGGAACTGGTAAACAGTCGTGGACGAAGTACAATATGCTGGTCCACTCATCTACCCGGATATGCTCGAGCATTTCATGGTTCATTCTGCTGACAATCTGGATGGAGATCGGGGCTCAAACTAATCTCCAGACGTTCCACATGCAAACTTCATGTTTTTTTTTGCAGGTATTTCTGTAATATTCTGGACATTACGGTGCAAAATGAACTACTTGAACAATACTTATCGTTAAAACAACACACAGCTGGATTTTTAGCACCTGATTCCTGGTGAGGGTCCAATTTTATGCTTTTTCTTGGCAACTGAGGTATATTTAGATCGAATCAATTTCAAAAACTACAACTACCAACTTGTCACATAAGACTATATGCTGACTTCTAAAAGCGCAGATTGTGAACATCGGTTTATTTACCGCTTTTGTAAAAAAAAGCGGTTCAAAAGAACAGTTTTTGAAGTTTGTTTGGCATTTTAAACAATCAGTTTAAACCTGAATTTAAAGATGTCTAAAGTCCAAACATGTGTAGTCAAACAGTTTTCTTATGCTTCAGCCAGTGAGTCAAAAACCTAATAAAAACTGAGATGAAATGGTAAAAATCGATGTATGATGTCTCAAATGAGATAATAACCAATGACTGTTATTACACATCATTTGGATTTTGTCCTTTAAAACATAGCAAAAAAAAAAAAAAAAATTCCATCCTCATTATTATGCTTTTGGAAAATAATAAAGGGACTGGCTTCAACGACCGTGGTGGGACTGTGATTGATGTATGCAGGACAATCAGAACCGGTTCCAGCCCACGCATGTGCCGACTCACCGCTCTGTAAGCGTAGTACTTCTGGTCGTAGTCGTGGGCTCCGATGGTGATCTCCGGCAGGAACACGGGTATGTGGGTGAGCGAGCCGACCCTCTCTTTGTCCTGCACTCTGAAACGCACAAGAGAGGAACTTGCAGACTAAGGAGCTGGTTTGCGTGCTCAGAGAAAAGAGGCGGAGCAACTCACAGTTTCCTCATGTGGTGGTAGCTAATGTCGTCCTGCTCCGGCCACGGCCCCTTGTCGAACTTCAGGTAATCTATGTCCTCCACAATCTGGGACAAGCATGGAGGTGAACATGTTTTAATCAGATCATGATATTCACATTCTGCTAGTGTCGAAGAAACACAATTTTGCAATGGCAATTAATTAAAAAATGAAATTCAAATAATGCATGACGAGGTTTCTTCACACTATAAGTTATTAAAAATCATGACAGTGATGGACGTAAACGGTCGTATGAGGAGATTTTACAGAAGAGTTATGGATTCAACAGGTTTTTATGAAGTGTGTGATGTGACAGCTCTGGTGGAGTCAGCTGCACATTGTCCAAAAAAAACAAAAAAAACCCTAAAACAACTACAAATTGCAGAAAAACACTTCCTGTCGTCTTTCTCGTGGTTTTTGCCAGTAGTAACATCTGGCTGGTGATCATATGACTTCTGATGCAAAAAAAAAGTGGTTAATGGAGATAGTGTCTTACCCTCTCAGCGTCCTGAACTTGGGTCATATCATAGACCAGCAGTTCAGAGGTTTCCCTGAAGATGACACGGTGAGAGGGTTAATGATCAACAGAGACAGAGAGACATGTCCAACGCTCTCTGGTCACATACCTGATGCTAGGGAGGAAAGACTTCTTGTAGGAATCCTCTACGCTCTTCAGATACTGCAGGGAAATGTTCTGCAGGTGGGGCTGAAAAAAACAAAAATACATTGCAGAGTAACATCAGACAGCTGTCGCCAAGCTGGTTACCGTCTGACGGATGAGACGATAACCAGTCTCAGGTTACAGCAGTAGTGACCAGATGCCGGTTACGGTAGATAGTTAACTGGCTAACTAGGTAGCAGATGGTAACATCTAACTTGCCTAGTTAGTACAGCGCTAGTACAGCCGTACCTTCCCGCTCTGCTTGAGCTTCTTCTGCACCTCCTCTGCTGGTTGGTCAATGTACAAGACGAGGTGAGGAGGGAGGAACTCACAGATGCTGATGGTTTTGATCTCATTGTAGTGATTCACACCTGCAGGTTACACACTGATGGTTTTAATCAGACTGAAGGGTTTCTCACAGAAAACACAGAGGCTGCCCACAGATAAATATACTGAAAAAATATATAACCCCCCCCCCAGGTCAACTATTGTTGCCATGTGGAGTCAACAACTGTAAAAGAGCCTTTGCTGACATTTTATTGTGCAAAAGAAATATTTCTCTTGATTTGTGTATCATTTTGAATCCAACTTCCTGTCAGTGAGCATTACCCAGTGAGTTGTTTTCCTTTACCCAGTGCATGTCCAGTGGGTGATCAGACAAAATGAGCAACAACTGGACAATCCTTGGACTGGAGACAATAAAAGGCCCCAAAATGTCACATTTTGTCACAAGTCAAAAAGCCTCAGATGTCTCATGTTATGCAGGAGCCATTGGCATGTTGGATGCAGGGATGTCCACCAGAGCAGTAGCTGCACGGTTCAATGACCGTTATCAGACCATAGGCCTTTAAGAGTTTGATTCAACAGACTGGAGCTGCTGCACATCGACCTGATCCTCATCGGCCGCGTCTGACCACTCCA